AGCAGTGTAAAAATATACAACGGTGTATGCTACTAACAGAGAAAGGAACTAAATGGCTTGATTAAATTTTAGAAATTTAATAAGACTTCACGGGGGATTAAATAGTTAATTTTTGGGTGTTATTAAGACCCTAAATTAATTAAGGTTAATTCTAAATTAACGGATCAAACTGTATAACACTTATGTACAGTGGTATACGGTTGGTGGTTGAATGAAGTTTTAAATGCTTAAGCTTATTTTTAGGCATTCCAGTGGGATGTAATATATTTATAAAATGGTCTTAAATATATTATGGGGTCATTGATGTGTTAGATGTAATCTATGCAGGCTCTAGAAGTTAGTTGTTGATTTATTAATTCATCCCCTGCATTTTTATGGTTAATTGGTTGGATTTATATTGCTGAAACATTTAAAAATCTTCGGTGATTAATTGGATATTGGTTTTGGATTTTAAATTACTGTACTATCATTCGTAGTCTGTAATTTACATGGTTTTGGTTTTAAGTTGTTGAAATACTAAATACTATACTACAACGATGTGGATGGTTGGTTTTGGACTACAAATTACATGCTTATTATTTATGCCTTGTAATTTACCTGGAATTATGTATTGGAACATAATTGCTGAATTCTTATACTTAATTCGGTCAATTATTTGGAATCATATATTGGATAATAATTGCTTAATTCATATATTAAACTTGACCAATTATTTGGAATTATGTATTGGATTTTAATTGCTGAATTCTCACATTAAAATTCTGTCAATTATCTGGGTTTGGTTTTGCATTGTAAATTACTTGCTTATCATTTGAATGTTGTAATTTACATGGATATGGAGGATGGTATGCACCGGTATGGGACGGTGGCATACTAGGTATGGTTTAGTTCAAAATGCTAATTCCTACCTTATGGATTTTAATTGGTGAACAGTACGACTGGTTCTATCAATTATATGGACTTTGTGGATTGTATGCACCGGTATGGGACGGTGGCATACTAGGGACAGACTGATTTAAAATACTCAGTCCTACCTGTTTTGGAATAAGGGAACGGGTTGTTAAATAAATCCTCCTTATATATTTATAAGTCGGTACGGTTGAATACGCCGAATGACTTATTGGATTTCTTGTGAATGGTTAGGAACGGAGTTTAGATATATATGTTTATGGTACCACGAGTTGAGCTTGAGTCTCAAACTTGTTGGTTAGGGTGCGTATATGCAGTGGATGTGTAGCTGATTATAGTAGGTTGGGTGTACCCTGTTAGGTCTAGATACTCATGCCCACCTTTGGGTGCGTATTCGCATGTTGCCTTCTATTCAGGTTGAGATCCCTACTGTAGTTCAGTGAATGTCCCATAGTGTGGATATATATATGTATGGACTAGATAGATATTGTGAGGTATCTATGGTGTATCTGCGTATCGGGTCACTGTATGGATTGCAGTTAGATTAGAACTTGCTAGTGGGCCTGACCCACCCTTTTATTATTTTTTTCAGGTGTTCGTCAGTTCTGGGCTGTAGAGCTTGATCGTGCTGAGCAGATACAGTTATTCACTCTACTGATGGCGTAGGATTTTATTTCATGTTAAGACTTGGGTTTTGTTCCAGTCTTTTGAGTACCATTGGATATTTTTAGGGGTCCACTAGATGGATTCCCGAGTTGTATAAATTGGAGAACGATTTCCATTCGTGGTGGATCAGTTGTATCAAAATAGTTTTAATTATCAATGAAATTATTTATTCTGAAGTTTTCAATTATTGGATTATCATTCTAGATTCTTTTCAGCAAAATTTTATTCATTCTTGTTTTCTATATTGTATTCTGTGTTCATTAAATTGCTAATTGTTTTGATATCCTCGGGTAATCGGGCGTGGGCCTGGCCAACCCGCATCCGGAAATCCGGGGGTATCACAGACACCCCACCGGTGCTATTCGAGATGACGTCCTTTTGTTTTGCAGGTAAACGCCGTCGTTCCAAGTCGCGAGGATTTTTGCATCAACAGCTGGCGCCGTCTGTGGGAACGATTAGTTCTCTGAAGAAATAATAATCTTGACGCGACTTGGCTCGGACGGCAGGACGACAGTTTTCGATCATGGAAACCATCCCAAAATCATCAGTTGACAACGAGTTTCCACATTCTTATATAAGGACGGGTCTCTACATCATGATTACTTGTCTATCATATCGGGGGCAAAACGGTGGGTTGCGTGATGCCACCCAGTGTACGATGACAATAATCATAATTTGGCACGTCAACCCAGGCAGTCCAATGTAGTGTTTTCCATTTAGCGATGCTTGGTCCCCTCACTACTGAGGTTTGGTCATCTAAGACCAAACTCTATCTCTTGCCGTAGCCACCTACCAAGGCCTGATCGTTGAAGACTAAGGCCTGATCCTTCTGCGCCTACATAAATGAGTTGGTCTCCACCCATAAAGAAGATCACTACCAACAAGGGGGTTTCTACCTACTACTAAAGCCTCTACTTACCAGACGACAGTTTTCATCTCTTTTCCTTTGCAGGAATTGCCTGTCGACTTCAAATTATGCAGAATTTTGGATTGATAATCCGTGGCAGGTTAATTTTCAATAATCATTTATAACACAATCTAATGTTTTTAGACAACTGTAAATTGTTGCAGCACCAGGCACCCTATCCGCTGAATAAACATCTATAGAATGGGTCATCACCCAAGATCCCATCATCCGGGGCAGAATAGTGGATCACAGGATATTAATCATCGATCCACATATTAAGGGAAATAGGTTTTATCATCGCGGTGTCGTATATAATTAAAGCTTCCTTCATTTATTAGAGAGACAAGACGACTACCTCTCTTATTAAATGGGTCACCCTCCCTCAGACTACACCTCTTTCCCCCATAAGGGTTACAAGGGATGATAATGAGTGTCTTGTAATATAAGGACTCGGGCTGAATGAATCCCGTAATCAATAGCCCCGTACTATAAGGGATAGTAAATGAATGTCCTGTATTAAAAGGACCCAGCTGAATGAATCCCGTAATCAATATCCCCGTACTATAAGGGATAGTATATAAATGTTCTGTACTATAAGGACCCGGGTTAAATAAATCTCGTAATTAATATCCCCTTACTATAAGGGATAGTAAATAAAAATCCCTTACTGAAGGGACGAACTGAGTAATGCTCGTAAAATTTAATTCCCTTATTAAAGGAGTGACGACTTGAGTGAAGCTCGTACAATTTATTCCCTTATCAATGGAAGATTACCCAATGGAAGAATACCCAAGGGAATATTATCCAAGGGAAGAGTACCCAAGAGTACTAAAAATAGTACCCAAGGGTACCAAAAATAGTACCAAGGGGCAGAGTACCCAAGGGTACCAAAAATAGTACCTAGGGGTAGTGTACCTGTAATACCCCGTAATTTGAAGGAAATTATTAAATGAGTTTTATTTGACTTATCAAAAAAAAAAAAATTAAATGAGTTTTATTTGATTAAATTGGATTAAATTAAATTAGATATATATATTATTATTATTATTTTGTGCTTTATGGGATTATGGATGATTGAAAATTACAGGTATGATGACAATTATTAACCACTGGGGAACACATAAACAAACAGAAAGAAGGATGATATATACACACACATCAACTATCCAAGAACTCAGTTTCAATGTCCCAGCAACAACAAAAATTAAAAAAAATAAAAACTTTCCCTACGCTTTTGTGTCTTAAAGTATAATTACCACATTATACTTTCGACTTAGCAAGTTACAACTCAAAAGTGAAATTTATGCAAATCACAATTTCACTGAAGTAGTAAAGTTATGGGATTATGGATGATTGAAAATTAGAGGTATGATGACAATTATTAACCACTGGGGAACACATAAACAAACAGAAAGAAGGATGATATATACACACACATCAACTATCCAAGAACTCAGTTTCAATGTCCCAGCAACAACAAAAATTAAAAAAAATAAAAACTTTCCCTACGCTTTTGTGTCTTAAAGTATAATTACCACATTATACTTTCGATTTAGCAAGTTACAACTCATAAGTGATAAATTCATACCATATTGGCCACAATTTAAACAGAAGATTGACAATTAGAACTATCATGATGATAATTAATCATAAAGATAATGGAATTTATAAAGACACACATATATAAGGCTCACTGTGTGAACATTTGTGATTATACAGTCTTAATTTAGTTAGTTACAACCCAGAATTCAAGACAAACCATATCGTCATGGTCAAGAACAGTATACATTTTTTTGGAAACATGAATAACATAAAATCTTTTCATTTCTTGGCAACCAAACAAAGGGCTAAACAAAAACAAAGAGGGAGAGGGGTGTGACCTGTTTGTAAAGAGAAGAGAGGGGGTGGAGTTCTTGACGAACGAGAGTGCCCATGGAAATGTAGGGAACTTCTAGAAGCTTCGAGAGCCTCTCGGCGTAGAAGTGCTTTCATCTTCCTTCTCCTTTGCATATTCTCTAAAAATAGACAAACAAATTTTCACTCAAATAAGTAAAGAGATTTCTTGTTTCATTCTGTCTTCGATTCATCCACACCAACCAGACCATAATCGATCATCAAGGTCTTTATCATCTCTTTGTTGATTTCCCCTCTCTCCAATTTCTCTCTCATCCACTCCATTTTTTTTATTTAGTGTTGCTTTTGGTTTGTTGTCTTTGATCAGTCCATTTTTTTTATTTAGTGTTGCTTTTGGTTTGTTGTCTTTCACTAAAAAAACAACGGTGTCGGACACATGTCCGAGGTTGGGATACGCGTGTCCGTGTCGGACACTGATACTTCACTCCTGCCACGCGTATCCGTGCTTCATAGCATATACTAATCAAAGATATTGAGCCAGTTGCTTCGTCTAGCCTCTTCAGTTGGGCTGTTAGAAATCACAAGACTAATATAATTATTGGGCCCATTTTTTCACAGGCCCAGGCCCGGAATCCAAAACAATGTCAATGAGAAAAAAACTTGAAGCCCACCGTGGGGCCTCGAACCCAACGACCACAAGGTTAAGAGTCTTGCGCTCTACCAACTAAGCTAGACGGGCTTGCTGGTCGCCGTGGCTTGGTGAATTTATTTCACCAAGAACGACAAAGGCGGCTGCAATACAAACAAAAATTTTTGCTCTTAGGAGAATTAATCATAACTTTGTCAATTAAATTGAAATTCTTCTTCCCTTAATCCCATACACATGAGGAATTTTCGCTTTTCAAAGTCTATAGTCACTGAGGGTGCACAAAAAATCGGTCAACCCGAAAATCCAAACCGAATTAGATCAAATCGGGCAATATGGTTTAGTTTGCTAACGGTTTGGTTCGATCACGATTTCAAATTTGGAAAATCATAAAAATACGGTTTGATCACGGTTTGAGGTCCTTAAATACCGAACCGTATACACCCTAATAATCACATATGATTTTTGGCCACCCTCTATGTCTCTAATGTATGTATCCAAACTATCTTAATCTACTCTTTCAAATTTTCTCACTAATTGGTGTTGCACCTGATTTTTCACTCACACTTTCATTAACGATCCTCAATCTTAACATTCTTATTTTCATTGCATGGAGATATTGTTCTGACTCTATACAACAAAATTGGTCTTACAATTATTTATATATATAAAATTATTCCTATAATTACTTCTATATATAAAATTATTCTTTTAACCAATGTGTTATAACATAAAATCCCAGTGTAACTTGTCTCCATTTTCACCTCATGGTAGTAGGAACTTTAGTTTTTCTGTTTTTGTAGTCATATACATTATCTTGGAATTTTTTATGATTTGTAAAGAAATTTTGTTTATCTTTGTAGGCCTTACCAAATTCTCTTGGACCCAATATATCATATGTTTTTTTTCTAAGTCTATAAAAACTACATGTAATACTTGTTATCAAATGTCGTGGATTCCTTTTTTAATTAGCCTTTGTTCTATTATCATTTTTCGTAATTGTATAACTCATTGATTTAATTTCTCTATAGATGTCACGATTTAATATATTTCCATTATTTTTGTAGATAGGTACTATTATATTTCTTCTTCTCCACTTGGTTGCATCATACCTTGTTTTATGATGTCATTAAACAACTTTGTTAGCCACTCTATGCTTATGTTACATAATGTTTGCCAAATTTCTTCTATAGGTATATACCATCGAGGCATCCTCCAGTTTTTATTATTTAAGTGTGTCCTCTCATAGAGAAAATCAATAATCTTGGATTATTAGGATTTCTTATTTTGATTGTTATTTAATTTTCTTATTGTAAATTTGACTTACTTATACCAGGTAGTATTCTGATTTTTATTTACTTTCCTTAGTGTAAATTTGACTTACTTAGAAAAAGCTATGCCATAATTTTCTCATTCTTTAAACCTTTTATCCTCCACTTCCTTATTTTATTTATCATTCATTTGTTAAGTTCATTTTCTTCTATTTCGAAAAAATCAAAATACTTACTTTTTAAATTGAAGTAAACTAATTTTTTAAAATTTAAAAAAGAAAAGAAAAGGAAATTACCACGTATAAACTTTTCATTATTGCAGTGAGTGCATGCTTTAGATACTTTTGAAAGATTTTTATTACATTCTCACTTTTATATTTTGAGAGATAAAGAAATATACTAAATAACATTCATTGTTGGTATTCTTTTAAAAAATTATTATTATGTGTGAGTTGAGAGTTCTGCACGCTAGTACTATTTAAATTTAGATCTCTAATGCTACGCGGTCTCATATAAATGAGCTGAGATTAAATATACATAACACGCGTAGATCTGCTTGTTTATATCCGTCCAGCTCCCCGCAGGTTTTGGTTGTTAGGGTGTCCTTTTTATCAACAAAATCGTCGAGTAACTATGGCTTCTTCGGGCTCTAGTGGTGGTTCTGGCTCTTCTGAAGAACACGAAGCATCAGTGAATCAAGCAAAACCAAATTTTTCTAGAAAAATTTATGACATCGAACACCTCGATCCGGAAGTCGAAGAAGCTGTACGCAAGTACCGAAAACAGATTGCGGCTAGCGAAGTATGTGTTCTTTCTCTATTCTAATGCCCTCAATATTATGGTCGATTTATATGTGTGCGCGCGCGCCTAATTTTTGTGTACATTATATATACTATACATGTAGGGGTTTGATTGTGATGATTATCCTCCTGATATCGGTGAGGTGGGTTATATTGTACCGTATCTCATGCCCAACAGAGAGTTTCGTAATACTAAAAATATGAATGAACTCATCAACTCCTCGATGATAGCAATGATTGACTACAATGAGAAACATGTACGCTTTTTTGATTTAAATGATAAAATTGCATGAATATTTCTCCTTTTCAATTCTGACCACTCTCTTTAATATCCTATAATTTCTTGTAGGATACAAATTTCAAGTTTGTGAAGGTGTTGAAGGCAAATTCGCTGGTTGTTCAGGGTGTCATTTTTTATATTACCTTTGAGGCTAAGGGTGATGACAATGATGCTGATGAGGGTGAGACTGAAATGTTTCAAGCTAAGGTGTATTTTGGGAATTGGGACGGTAGAGCCTGAGCTCATGATGTGCAGGCTCAGACCTAAACAGGTGAAGTTAATTCATCAATTGGACAGCAATTTATTTTGATTTTTTTCATTTTTGTTGTATACTTTGATGGCCTTAATTGTTTGTTGTGTTTGTTGGTATTCCATATACCTATAGAGCCAATATTATATGTGTGTGTGTGTGTGTATATATATATATAGAATAATTGGTTCTCAATTCTCAGTTTTGGGAGACTTAAAAGATTAGACATTTTTATTTGTATCTATTTTGATGCCGATAATTTATTTTTTATTACGCATCTTTGTTTATGCTTTTTGTGAACTGTGATAATACCCTAAAATTTCGAGTACAAGATATCATCCCATTTTTTGATAATAGCTGTCTTTATGCAAATGTTGTTTACCTCAGTCGTTTCTCACAGCATTGCATTTTCTAGCCATATTCTATATGGATTCTTATCAATTATATTCTCTATGCGTATTCTATCAGTCCCTTGTTCCTTTCCTTTTTCTGCTCATCAACTTGAATTGAATTGACATTCCTATCTAGTATTGTTGTCATGGGTTTTGATTGCACTTAAATGTACCTTTCAGAATACCCTAGCATCTTATCCTCTACTAGTGGCACCTTTGTTTTTCTAGGAATCTATAGGTTTTCAACTCTTGTCATTCTCAATATGAGCGATATCTCTAAATAGTGCCCGGGCATGACCCCTCATTCTCAGTCAAGATAGATGGAAGGAGCCCAATCAAGTTACTATGTGCTATTACTCATCATCTGAACATCTTATTCTAGTTATACTCATTTTATAAACATGTAGTTCCGTAATTGCTCAACATCCGAACATCTTATTCTAGTTATACTCATTTTATAAATATGTAGTTCCGTAATTGCTCAACATTCGGTTCCATGAAGTATGTCTATCCTCAATAGTCATTTACTCATTTTAATAAAATATATCATTATCACAATAACCTAACACCCCAACTAAATAGTCAATTAGCTTCAAAATTACTTAATTCTCCATTTGATAGCCTTATTTTTTTATCATTTAAAAATTGATAACTCATGCTTTTGCAAGTTGGAATTCTGGATGATCTGGTCACATTTATCATAATTGAAGAATATTAATATCGTCAGAATATGATTTAAAATGGTTTACAGGTTATTTTTTCAAGTATTCTGAAAATAGAAACAGGTTTTTGAAAAACATGAAGGAGTGTTGTATATAAATGGGCCATTTCTAACTCTGATTTCATGTCGTAAGCTTTAAAAAATTGTCACCAAATGTTGTCAGATAGTTTATTGTTTTTCTCCTCTCTGAATAAAGAAAATTACTTTTAGAAAACAGAATCAAACAAGCCTATAATTCTTAAAATTGCTTGCACTTTTATAGAAAAATTCCAAAGACAGCTCATTTTTTGAAGAGTTTGAATAGAAAGTAAATGTTTGTTTTCTGCAAATAATTGAAATTGTAACTAAAAAACTTTTTTAACGTATACATTTTATCAATGCTAGAAAATGAAGAACTAAATAAATTTTTGCAAACAGCAAAGTATGCTGTAGTAGGATTATTTGGGTAATCTACCATGAGTGGTAGAGAAGCCTGTGATACCCCCTGATTTCGGAACACGAGTTGATCAAGTCCGCGCACAAAATTAGGGAAATATCAAAACAATTAAAGTATTTCAAACAAGCACAGAAGACAAAGTGAAATGCGCTGAAGAAAACTAATAAATAAATATTACTTAATGATTCTCCAACAATTACAACTCGGAAATCCCTTAACTCAAGGACCCCTTAAAACATTATCCAATAATCCAATATTATTTAAAAGTACACAAGATGAATAGATGAATGACAGTCGCCCAGTTACGGATCCTCAACCTCGAGACTGGAACCTCTATTAACTTGAAAAATAAATCGTGGGTTAAACCCTACGAGCAAGTTCACTCTACCAGACCTCTGAAAACCAATAAGTAGATCATCTCTGATCAAACCAAACCTAATAAAATTTTAACTTTAATAAAACACAATATACATGTCTATATATAATTATATATATCATACAAATCACATCCATTAATAGGTTTAATTATTAAATTTCCATACCTATTAAATAATTATTAAAATAATATTCATACCTAGACCAGTCTACTATTTCATTTTAAAAAAAAAACTCCTTTGACCTTAATCCCACCCTAGTCAGTTGTTTAATCATTTAAATAATAAATTATAATAAAAGGCATATTATAATTAATCTCAAAACCCGATGATGATTTTAACTAAATCACATATCCAAAATCTCAGCATTGACAAATCATCCATGTCTTCACAGGTATATTATTTTATTAATATAAAATAATACACTAACCAGTAAGTACTAGATTATTCTAATTTAAGAATATATAATCCTAATCCAGTTTATACATACAATAACCATAGATGATATTTTAATCATCTAACACATAACAATTTAATTACGCTTTGGCAAATCAACCATGCCTCCACAAGTATATTTATTATACATTGGCAATTCAACCATGCCTCCGTGTATGTATATTTATACATTGGCAATTCAACCATGCCTCCGTGTATGTATATTTATACATTGGCAATTCAACCATGCCTCCACAGGTATATTTATTCAAACATTTAATTAACAATTCATCCATACTTTCCATATATGTATTCTATTCATACAAATACTTAGGTAATATATTTAATCCTTTGACAATTCATCCATGCCTACACTTTAACCATGAATTAATTTTAAAATTAACAATACGCTAAATCATACATAGCCATCTCATGCATATTATACGCATATCATTAATTTAATAACCAGTCCAGCCATATATACTAAGTAAGAATAATAACACTAAATATCTTAATTTACATATATATACACATATAATTTATAATATATATGTGTATAATCCTTCCTTAATAATCCATAATTATTTCAGATCACATATACATATATATCAATAATTATATATATATATGTACAACTATCCATACAACTCATAAATTAAATAAACCATATATACAAATATATAAATAAATAAATAAATAAATAAATAAATATATATATATATCATCCATCCATAACCAATTATTAATTTACTATATTACACAAATTAATGCTTCTTAATATGTCTGAGATAGTTTCCCCTAAATACTACATATCGGTTTAAATAGTTTTCCAACACCGTTTTACTAAAATGTAAATATCTTCTAGTAGGATAGGAATCTGATAATGAAATTGGTATCATTGGAAAGAGGACGAAAAATTCTTGAATTTGAGCTCTAGAATGACTTAATTTCGATTTAAAATGACTAAGTTATGACCATTTTAATTTATAGTGTCGAAACAGGCCAACAGTGGTTTCCCACGCGCGCCCACGCGCTTACTATGCATTTGCATGCGCTGGATTCAAGCCTCCTTGTGTGCTGGTATTGGCTAAGCTCTTTCAGCTACCGTGAGCTCACCACACTGAATCCATCACTTCCTTTATGCCGCATCCAATGGTCACAAATCAGTGCGCAAATGAACACGCTCACACTGGATTATTTTCTATTAACTATAATAGATCTAAGGACCAAATCAGCGAGTGCACCATCTTCTCATGGTCTGCGATATACTAAATAATCCCATAGTTGACCAGACCACTTCTATGGTCCAGATACACATGCGCACCAAACTTCTATGCGCCGCGATGCACCATATCAATTCACATAAGTTTAATTAATCGAATGGCCCTAATTGCGCGCTGGATCAATTCCTTATTGTGCCGCCGCTCCACATGCGCCAGTTACGTAGTATATATGTGTGTATATATATATATATATATAATTATTTTTCGAACAAATAATAGGAAAATAAATCTTAATAAATTCCTAAAAATATCAGAAAAATTCCAGAAAATTACAGAACAATTCTAGAAAATAAAGAAACCATAATTAACTCTCTTGGGTCACAAATCTACCTATAGATTGATTTTAAAATATACATATAACACCTATATATATCAATTAAAATCCAATAATCTAAAAAATAAATAGAATAGTTTATACTTTTTAATTATTCCGATCTAACCATAATTTTTAAACAAATAAATTTAATTAAAGCCTTGATACTCAAGATGAAATCCTTATGAATTCTAAGAGGAAAGTTAGATAAAACTCGCCTGAAAGTTTCGAAACGAAACCGACGCTTCAAGCTTTAATTATCTCTTCCAATTCCGACGTCCTCCTTTTCAGATTCGACCTCCTCCTTGACAGCCCTTCTTCTTCCTCTCTCTCTGTCTGTTTTATTTTTCTAACGTGTAAAACCTTTAACCCTAAAGCTTTATGTGTATTTTTATACACCTTAAATTCCAATTCCTATTCCAACTAGTATTATGAATTAAAATAATAACCTTTAAATAATTTATATCTATAAACATATATTATATTACATATATATATAAATATATTTTCCTTCCATAATTAACCCATTAGTTAATTAAATCATATATACATATATATATCAATAAATATATATCTATATATATCTTTCCATAACAATTATTAATTAATTATATATATATATAATTATATATATATATATATATATATATGTATATATATTTATAATTAATACAAAAGTGATCATTTAAATAATTAAATAACCACGGGCCTTCATTAATTAACCCAATAAGGTTTCATACAAGCCCAAGACCACATCTTTTGGTCCAACTTTCCTTAAACCCAATCCAATTAATTTAAATAAATAAGATAATTAATTAAATACTGAAATTAAAATAACTAATTACATGAAGCACATAAACAAATAAGAATTTACAACTAAGTCACACAATACCAATAAAATCAACACACCAATAATTCAATCAATAATCAACCACACAAACAATCAATCATCATACATAATCACGAAATATAACTTAATTAAAATAAGATAATTAATCTAGCACTCAATAAAATAAAATAAATCATTGAAAAATAAAATAAAATAATTAGTCCTAATTAATAAATCCTTTAAAAATATTGGGGCATTACAAAGCCTATAAATACAAGATTTTGCTTGTTTTAGTATCTTATGTAATTGTGCAACTTGTTTCAACTCAAGTTCAATTCCTAGACAAAATTAATTCCTTTAATTCAACTAATTGAAGATCTATGAATTCCAATATAATTTTATCCTGAATTACATATAAATATATAATGTATTTATATATTAAATATATAATGTATTTAATTAATTCCCTTGTTGGCTCACTTTTTGTTTTTCTTTTTCTTTTAAAGTAACTTTTGTTTATATACTTACATTTATATCATTTGTTTGAAGCATGCATTTTGCGCAGATTCTTGTGTGTAATATCAACCCATGAGCTGTGTCGCTGTGTCTGTTCGCATTTATGTTTGCAAATATTTAACATATGATTGTTAATTGTTTGAAAACAGGCAAGTGAATGCAGTAGAGCTCTTTGCAAGTGAATGCAGTGGAGTTGTTTGAAGCAGTTTAAAGCAATTAACATGATTGTTAATCGTTTCGCTCTGTTGCTGTAGTCGTACTGGGACTTGGTATTTCTTATCAGTAGTTTAGATAATTATACCATGTTGGATTACTTTATAATCTCTGGTTATTTTATAATACATGAGTGGCAAAACTTTGGACTTTGTATTTTGTGTAGGAATGACAAAATATGATAAGAATTGGCAGACTTTACATTGAGTTTATGTAATTGGCTTGACCTTTTTATTCTTTTTTTAACTTTTTGTGGGCTTCCTTGTCCAGAAAATATATTTGATTAATATTAAGCTGTACTTATGGCACATATTTGGTTAATTTCCTTTGCCTTTCAAAAAGAAAATGAAATAAAATAAAATAAGGTTGGGTGTACATGTTGGGCAGATTTGTGCCCTCTGTTGTACCACTTTTTAGTGCTAATGTGTTGTATACATGTACAACACAATTAAACCAAAGTGCAATATCAGTATTTCAATTCTCGATTAGTCATGTTACATCCTTCAAAAACTAAACCAAAGTGCAATATCACCATTTCAATTCTCGATTAATCGTGTTTCATTCTCAACTAATAGGAAATACAACACGATTAACTGATGCTTTAAATGATAGTATTGCACCTCAGTTTAACAATGTCTTGTAAGTGTACATCACATTTAAATATGATTTGAATGAAGAAGCACCATAACTGCTAGTTATGCTGGATATGCTAGAAACAGCAGAGGACTAACAATATGGTGTATTTGAGTTTCTATCAAAATGATTTGGCTGCATATAAGGTCTGCCATCTAAGAAGTAATCCTCTAATCACTTCAATGAGTTTTTCTGCTGTCTGGTACAGTATGAGAAGAGGTAAGATTTTCTGGTATATTTTGAAGATCACACCAGCTTTCTTGACTTTTTCACATCTAGGAATATTTCATAATTATGTTTCTCCTCTGTAATGTTATGAAATGTTCTCTAATTTTTAAAATATTCACAATCAGCAGATTTGCTTCATAGTTCCATTTGAGTGGCTATTTTTTTCAATTATTCATTCTTTTCTAGGTCTGCAGAATACTCATGTGGTGGTTGTGATGTTATTGTATGTATTTATATAGTTTTTACATTGATTTGGTGGATTCCCTTGTTTTACCAGTAAGAGGACTTGTTACTTATGAAAGGCTAGTGATCATTTCCAGGTATGTTTGATTTCATTATGGCTAATTGTGTCCTAACCTGTCTATTCATTCCTTTACTGTGTAAATCTCTTTATCTCTATATTTAACCTTCCATGATTTTATTATGGCTATAGAGTCCTAAGCTGTCCTAACCTGTCTGTGCTTTCATAATTTTATGTAAAACATTTTTCTCTGGATTTAACTTTCACGCATGAGAGATCTATTTATATGCAATTCTTCAATGGAACAAGAGCTTAGGGCTCACATTTTCTGATTCATGTAGTTTGAAGTTATATGCAACATGCTTCGGACTGGAAGTAGCTTAATTGAGGAGAAGTGGAAGTGTATTTATCTTCTATGGTGTTTCCCGATCGTGCACCCAGTGATTTATATCTTTATACTATTTTATTGGGGGAATTCAAAACAAAGAACTTTGTCTTGCTCATTCATCTGCATTTTGCCCTCACTTTCACGTTTTTCAGAATGTACTTCCCCTAATAATTTATGCATAGTCACATTAATGGTGGTATAGGGATAGTTGAAGCGGCTACTAATATCTGACCTTTAGACTGTTGTTAGGTGGTGAGGGAGAGCTTTCCTTTGTGAAGTATGGATATCATTAGTGCTTAATAAGGTATTTGCTATGTTGTTTGCTACAACTATTTGGGCTGTTTGGAGAGTGAAATCTCAGAGAGAGACCGAGGAGTTTGCCAGGACTGGTTTTTGAGATTATGGTGTCGATCACATTTCTTAATGTTGTTTTGCCTTTGTGTAAGACTCATTTTTTGTCTTGTTTTCCTTTGTTTCCAACTGTATTTGAAATGGTCCTTCTCGGTCTTCTTTTTGAGTTGTAATAAGTTGGGGGTGCCTCCAATTTTTCCATTGTTCTGAAAGCTTACTTTTGTTAATGGCAATTGACACATTTATAAAAAAAAAAAAAAAATTCCCCTTTTACTTAATTTACTTAATCTTTGGTAAAATATGGAAGACTAGTTGTAGTAGGAGGTAAGAGATGGATAGGTCGACCAAAAATAACATGGGTGAGATTATTAAAAATGACCTTAAAAAGTTTAATATCGTTAGTTTTTTGTTTGAGTTTATTGCTCTCATATTAAACCTTGGCCAAAATTGAATGTTCAATTCATATTCTTCTTTTATTTTTTGTTTTTATTTTTAGATTCTTCTCTAGTTGACAAGATCTATCACTGAAGACTTGGGATATGAATCCTTATGGCTGGCTCTCTATGGCATTGCTGTCTGTTTCCCCTTTCTCTCTTTTCCTAGGGTTAAACTTACAAATATTGTTAGCGAATGCTACACCCATATCTGCTTCTTTTGAGTTGCTTCTTTCTTCTACTGCAAATTTTCCTTTTCGGAGTGAAATTTGCAATTGAGGCACTTAGTACTAATGCTGTTTTTACTTGTCTGGATCAGTCACAAACTGCCAAGCAATAAAAAAACTGAATAAAGCGGATCATTTGGTTGCATGGCGGCTTTTGATTGACTCAGATCACGTGATTTTGGACTATTTAATAATTTTTCGTATGTCATCTTTTTTGGTGCATGCAAATTTACGTGTAGAAGTTAATAAACAAAACATTACCGAGTCGCGAGTAATTATTCATATTCGAGTATCATTGCTCCAAATCATGTTCAAGTTGGGTGTGTCTTTAATCTTGATTGAACGTGGGGTCATATTTGTGTAAAGGTCTTTTTGTCTGTCAATGTATTATTGTTTAGAAATATTTTGAAGTTATTTTCCTTGTCCTGCTTCTTTTCCGAATAAAAATCCGCAAAGTCATGTCACACACAATTTAATTGTAGCAAAGACTCTTGAATTGCAAGTAAGTTTATTTTAGAATGTGAATACCAGTTTTTTCTTTTTTATTCTTCGGAAAAACACATTAACTGATGATGTGATTACAAATTCAATTTTTCTTAGAAAAACCTAGACATGGATTTGAAGAAAAGAGAACTTGAAAGTTGGACTCTTGCTTGAAGGTTTGTATGTTTGTTTAAACTTTCGGAAGAAACAAAAAAAAAAAAAAAATCAACTGACAATAATAATAAGTGTAAAGTACAAAAAAATAATAAAAATAAAATAAAATAAAATAAAAACCAAAAGGGTGATTGGTTATTTACAATAAATACAAAAAAGTGGGGGACCCTACTCCCTTATTTGTTGCATAAATGATCAATTAAAAATTGTAGGTTTAGTAATTCACTGTAACTACTCAATGCAAAAATTATTTTTTCTCCAAAATTATGTTTACACTTCCTAAGTATTTCCCCACTTTCTAAAGTAGTAGGTAGATGGGTCAAAGTTATGTTTGGCTGGGCTTTTGGGGGCTCCAAAACTGGCTTTTATGTTCAAAAAGGCATTCTCAAAAAATTAGCATGTTTGGTGAGTGTTTTGAAACAGGCTTTCTTTAAACGCCGAAGTCATTCAAAGCCCATTAGTGTGAAGCTGAAAATACAAGCTTTCATAAACGCACGGGAAGCTGAACGGCACTTTAAGTAACAAATTTTGATTTCCAAAATCATCCTTATATATAATAAATATTACAGTACCATATTAACCTACCGAATTACAACATTTATTTTCTCTATGCGTTTTTGGAATAGAAAGAACGCCTACAGACAATGAATAAGAAGATTATTGGTTGACACCGGTGAGCAAAACTTGAAGACGAAGTTGCTTGAAGCTGATGATTATTGCTTAATTTGATGACTGAAGTATTTTCTGGTTTTGGTGAATTTTTTTATGATGCCATTAATCCTAAATTTTATTTACATATCACATGTATGTGTGTTTATATATATACATAGAGAGAAGGATGTATTTGGCAGTTATTGAAAGAACATCTGATAGGATAAGAATTGATTAAGGAACAACGGCTCGATAACTATTAATTAATGATATATTTGTTTGCTATGTAGAGAGATATGGATGATTGGGGTGTTCTGAATAATGATAATAATTAATTAAGGGTTAGTGTTGCTGTTAATTTCAATATTGAAAATAGGATAATGATTAGAGAGTGATTGAAAAGGGAGTGGAAACTTATTTGAGGTGTTGTGATTGCTCTTAATCTAATAATTGGTGAGATGTGAGACTCTTACAATTAAGCTATTCTATCAGCATAAATTATACTCTGACATAACGTCTAGTATTTGTCTACGGCAAGTTGTTTAGAGTGCTCATTATTTTCAAATTCTTTTATGATTCCAGATTTGTATTATTATCTGAATTATTCACACTTTTTTTCAATAGTTATTTTCTTCTTTTTTTTATTTAATTGTTGTTGCTGCTTGTTGAATGACGCCTTTTTTTTTTTTTTCTTTTTTTAAATATAAACAAATTAATAGTAAATTTGCATGTGCTTGAATATATAAATTCGGTTGTTTCTTTCACCTCAACATGTGATTATGAATTTCAACGTCACTGTGAAAATTTTGAAAGCTTACAACGTTTATTGTATTCACATAAAGTGATCTGCATTTCAATTTTTAATGTGAGTAAAGTTCGTAATTTGATAAATATACCATAGTCAATGGGATGGGTTTCTTTGCCAATTGACCTGGTATTATTGATTTGTGTTCACACTAAACTACTACTTGATATTTCCATCATTGCCAATTGACCTGGTTATTATTGATTTGTGTTCACACTAAACATAACTGCTACTTGATATTTCCATCATTGCTATTGTGATTGTATTCACCATTTTTTTGTGATAGCTTCTATTAAATGAAGAAAAAAATTATAACATCGTAAACAAGCATCAGAAGAAAGGGTCTGCTCAAAGGTAAAGCCAGTTAGCCAATGGCCAAAGCCCCCATCCAAAACTCACTTTAAAATAAGCCCCAAGTAGAGTTTTCTAACTGTTTTATAAAAGTACAAAAATTATCTCTTAATTTTTTATTAAGTTATTTTCTAAACTCTAATTTTTCTCCCCCCTCCTATTTTTTTTTTTTCTCTTTCCTAAAGTTATGCCTTCGGCTCTATCTCCGAACTTTTTTCTTTTCTCATTCTTCATCTTTCTAATTTTATTATCCACTCACCACTCACTTCTCTTTTTTATCTCTCACCTTTTTTATTATTATTTTTTTTTCTATTTTTTTCACTGTTTTTCTCTTTTATTGCGTCCCAAATGTTAGAACACCAGACATTGAACTAAATATATTGATCCTACAAACATTTTCTTTTTAACATTATAATTTTTCTTTCCAATATAAATTTCATTATTAGGGTGTTCATTTTTTTTTTTTTGCAACTTGTCACATATCAACTCTACCTTCCTTTTGATTGGGATGTTTACTTTTCCATTAGTATTCTGTTTGAATAATGACATTGTTTTCTCCGCCTTTAACAGGAAGGAGCACATTCCCACTTGCATGCAATTGATCAAATACCCCTTATTCATTCGACCTTCCCTTTGATTCCCGTTTGAAATATAGCAAGACGGTATGTTGCACGAATATTTTTTAAATAAAAGTTAGTAGCACCCCACATAGACGGACAAGCACTGGCCAATGGCCTTTTTTCACACTTTTCTTTGTGTTTTTCATTTATTTATTTTTAAAAAAATCCCAAGTTGTAGGCATTTATGTGATGTTGGTCTGTGTTGAATCATTTAATAAGATAATAGTAATTGAGAAAAATGTTTGACGAATAATTAGAATTATTTTAGTATCATATCTTAATTTCATAGTAAAATGGAAAGTCAAAGTTGTACATATTATTGTTGTACGTATCAAATTAATGAGCCATGCTATGTAAATTGTTGAATATTTAAAAAATAATTAAGATGTGAAACTACAGGGCTAGATGAGTCAGAAGCTTTTATCACCACACCAAATGAATTCAAGAGGAATGTGGTTAGACTTGGTAGTCCATGTCAATTCCGTTATTTGGTTGTAGTTATATTGATATGCTTAGAACTGGAGGCATTCATTTAATATATATATATTTTCTTCTCTTATTTGTTCAAATTTAACCCATTTTTTTTTTACCTATTTTGTGTTGATAGATAGCTAACCAATTTGGTGGGTCGTCATCTCTAAATCAACTATCTGAAGAAAAAATAAATAAATAAATAAATAACGGAAAAAGCAGTATGGAATAAAAAATGAACCTTTCTCAGTAAGGAGAGTTGGAATAACGTTATCTAAAACTTCCAAACTAGAACAGGATAGAGATATGATAAAAAAAAACAGATGAAATATCATAGGGATAGTACAAAAACAGAATGGAAGATATGGTATAAGCTAAAAAAGGAGGAAACTGGGCTTGGATGGGACGACGAGAAAAATACAGTCGTGGCGAGTGACGATTGGTGGACCAACTACTTGCTGGTATATAACAATATTTATGTTTTGTTATATGAATCGCATGTATTACTTTGTTAAATGTTTTATTACATGAATTGCATGAACTATTTTGTGATTATATGTTAATGTTAAACAGGCTTACCCAGATGTAGCTGAGTTTCGAGAAAAGGGAATTGAATACTCATATGAGCTAACATCTCTTTTCAAAGATGGGGTAGCATTGGGTAACTTATCTTATGCTCCTTGGCAAGGAATGTTACGAAAAGATAATGTTGGACCTTGTCGAGTCGAAGATACACAGGATACTCAAGAAGATGCAAATATTACAATGCATAACGAATAAGAACATATGGATTTTGATAAAAATCAAGAGACTGATGATGCTGATACAGCTCATAGGAAGTCAAGGGATTTCATTCCACCACCTAAGAAGTGTCGTAAAGCGTCATAAAGCAACAAATGTTAATGACACGCTTGAAAGAATTTGTAATGCAATTGTGTCTAAGGCAGCAAATCGTGGTGATGGTACAATTAAGGAATGTATAGACTTATTGAATCAAATGACTGAAGTACCAAAAGGAGGAGATTCATACATGTTTGCTTATGACACCTTGTTCTTGCAAAAAGATCTACGAGAGCTATTTGTTGCACTTGGAGAGCAGGAGTTACACTTGGCTTCAAAATCGACACATGTCTTATAATACCCCTTATTCATAATTATTTTTAGTTTTCTTTTTTGAAATTATCATTATGCAATTTTATTTATTTAGAGATGAATAGTGTTAACATACTCAAAGTTATTTTGAGAGAATATTCATATGTGTTATTTTTGTTTTCATTTATTAATATCAATGCTTTCGTTTAGATTTTGTTAATTTGCTATTCCTTTTTTTTTTTCATATCAATAATTAATATATTGTATTGGTTTTGACAAATAACATTCTTTGTGACAGTTAGGGAATTTGATGAAATGGTGACAGATGCACTAGTGGTTGTTGCAGTTTGTGTTGCGAATAATCATCACAAGACCTTTATTGTGAAAGAAGCAAGCAGAAATTCAAGTTACATTAGACATTAATTTGTAATAGATATATTAAATAGAAATCCAATTATTTGTCATGAATTATTTCGCATGGAAAAACATGTATTTTTACGACTTTGTCAAGAGCTCAAAAGAAGGGACTTATTGGAGGATAGTCGTGAAATTTCTGTTGAGGAGCAAATGGCCATATTTCTTATGACAAGTAGGCATAATGAAAGAAATAGGATGCTACAAGAACGATTTTCAACACTCTGGTGAGACGATTAGTAGGCTTTTTAACACAATTCTAAAGGCTCTAGTAACCTTCTCAATGTCAATTATTGTGCCTCCTTCGTTCAATGATGTCCCTAACTATATATGCAACAATCCCAAATATTGGCCTCATTTTAAGGTAATTTTTATACTTTTTTCATAATTAATTATATTATTACGTTTTACTATATATTTAATAATTATTTGATTATTGACTTTATAACAAATTTCATTCTAGGGTTGTATTGGTGCGATTGATGGAACACATGTTGATGCAGTAATACAAGTAGATCAACTACTTCCATATCGTGGACGTAAAGGAGATTGCACACAAAATGTGATGATTGTTTACTCATTTGATATAAAATTCACATTTGTTTGGGCGGATGGGAGGGATCGGCTCATGATTCCCGTATACTTCACGAAGCTATTCATAACCAACATTTGAACTTTCCGAAACCTCCAAGTGGTTTGTATTATTGCTTTTAATTTACATTTTTATATTTTATTATATAACTTATTACTTGTGACATTTTCTTTATAGGTTATTTACTATGTTGTTGATGCTGGATACCCTAATATGGTGGGATATTTGGCACCATATAAAGAAGTACGTTATCATTACCAAAATTTTGAAGAAATCGCCAACCAAGAGGATATAAAGAATTATTTAACTATGTTCATTCATCGTTAAGAAATTTAGTTGAACATTGTATTGGTGTTTGGAAGGCCAGGTGGCCAATTTTAGAACACAGCTTCTTTTCCATTCCCAACACAAAGATTGATTGTAGTTGCATCAATGACATTGCACAACTTTTTACGACAAGAAGCAATAGCTAATGCTGAATTTCGACAACATGACAACAATGAAGGTTATGTTAGTGATAACGACGATCTTGATAGGCATACTACAGTGGACTAGCAAATTCATGGAGAAATGAGCATTATACGTGATGGGATTGCTAATTCAATGTGGTAGATTAGTAGATAAATCATTCCAAAGTATTTTTTATGCCATTAAATAGTGGTCTGAATTTTTGTTTAATTTTTCTTTTTGTCAATTATTGTTTATTTTGGAATTAGTAGTTAAATTATTTATACAATTTGGCAAATTCATTTGTCATTAGAAATTTATTATCTTCTTAAATAAATTTACATTATTTATTTGTTAATATAATTATTATGCAATTTTATTGGTACAAATATTTTTATGTGGTTTTTTCTTTAATGACAAAATAACAAGGAGGCTCATTTTTAGCCCATAGCTATAGGAAAGAAAGATAAGAGAGCAATACTTGTTGGGGATAATTAACTCCCTCCAACCCACTCAACGATCGGCTGTTGTTGAAAATTAAATCCCTCCTTCATCACACACAGCGGAAGCATCATTACATCACATCAACACAAGCATATATGGAGATAACAATCATACACATCAATTGTAATACCCCCTAATTTTGGAACACGGATTGATCAAGTCCGCGCACAAAATCAAGGGATATCAAAACAATTTAAGTATTTAACAAGCACAGAATACAAAGATGAATAATAAAGAATAAATAAACCGCTGAAGAAAACTAATAAATAAATATTACTTAATGATTCTCTAATAATTACAATTCGGAAATCCCATAACTCAAGGACCCCTTAAAACATTATCCAATAATCCAATACTATTTAAAAGTACACAAGATGAATAGACGAATGACAGTCTCCCAGCTGCGGATCCTCAACCTCGAGACTGGAACCTCTAATAACCTGAAAAATAAATCGTGGGTTAAACCCTACGAGCAAGTTCACTCTACCAGGCCTCTGAAAACCAATAAGCAGATCATCTCTGATCAAAACCAAACCTAATAAAGTTTTAACTTTAATAAAGCACGATATACACGTCTATATATAATTATATATACTATACTAATCACATCCATTAATAGGTTTATTAAATTTCCATACCTATTAAATAATTATTAAAATAATATTCATACCTAGACCAATCTACCATTTCATTTTATAAAAACTCCTTTGACCTTAATCCCATCCTAGTCAGTTGTTTAATCATTTAAACAACAAATTATAATAAAAGAAATACTCTATTTAATCCCAACCCGATAATGATTTTAATTGTTTAAATCACATATCAAAAATCCAAGTTTTGACAAATCATCCACGTCTTCCCCAATATTATTTTATTAATGTAAAATAATACACTAACCAGTAAGTACTAAACTATTCTCATTTAAGAATATCTAACCCTAATCCAATCCATACATACAACAACCATAGATGATATATTAATCATCTAACACATAACAACGTAATTATGCTTTGGCAAATCAACCATGCCATTGTAAATATTTTTATTTATATATTGGCAATTCAACCATGCCTCCATAAGTATATTTATTTATATATTGGCAATTCAACCATGCCTCCGTGTATGTATATTTATACATTGGCAATTCAACCATGCCTCCACAGGTATATTTATTCATACATTTAATTAGCAATTCATCCATGCTTTCCATATATGTATTCTATTCATACAAATACTTAGGTAATATATTTAATCATTTGACAATTCATCCATGCCCACACTTTAACCATGAATTAACTTTAAAATTAACAATACGCTAAATCATACATAGTCATCACATGCATATTATACGCATATCATTAATTTAACAACCAGCCTATTAAGATATGCCAAATAAGAATGATAATATTAATCATCTTAAATGATTTATATATATATATACCTACACATATGTTATTTAATGTATATATGCGTTTAACACCTTCTTTAATAATCCTTGATTATTTAAAATCAATATACATACATATATATATATATATATATTCATCCTTCCATACAACTCATAGACAAATTAAACTATATATACACATATATAAATAATTATATATATATATATATATATATATATATATATATACACTTCCTTCCATAACAAATTATTAATTTATTATATTTACACAAATTAGTGCAACTAAATATGTCAGAAATAGTTTCCTTTAAATACTCCATATTGGTTTAAATAGTTTTCCGACACTTTCTCACTAAAACATAAATATCTCCTAGTAGGATGGGAATCTGATAATGAAATTGGTACCATTGGAAAGAAGACGAAAAATCCTTGAATTTGAGCTCAAGAATGACCCACTTTCGATTTAAAATGACTAAGTTATGACCGTTTTAATTTCTAGTGTCGAATTAGGCCAACATAGTTTCCCACGCGCGCCCACGTGCTTACTATGCACTTGCACGCGCTGGATTCAAGCCTCCTTGTGTGCTGGTATTGGCTAAGCTCTTTCAGCTACCGTGAGCTCACCACACTGAATCCATCACTTCCTTTATGCCGCATCCAATGGTCATAAATGAGTGCGCAAATGAACACGCTCACACTAGATTATTTTCTATTAACTATAATAGATCTAAGGTCCAGATCAGCGAGTGCACCATCTTCTCATGGTCTGCAATACACCAAATAATCCCATAGTTGACCAGACCACTTCTATGGTCCAGATACACATGCGCACCAAAGTTTTATGCGCCGCGATGCACCATATCAATTCACATAAGTTTAATTAATCTAATGGCCCTAATTGGCGTATACACCCTATTATCCTACACCGCGCCGCACTGGATCAATTCTTTATTGTGCCGCCGCTCCACATGCGCCAGTTACCTAGTATATATATATATATATATATATATATATATATATATATATATATATATATATATATAATTATTTTCCTAACAAATAATAGGAAAATAAATCCTAATAAATTCCTAAAAATATCAGAAAAAATCCAGAAAATTACAGAACAATTCTAGAAAATAAAGAAACCATAATTAACTCTCTTGGGTCACAAATCCACCTATAGATTGATTTTAAAATATACATAACACCTATATATATCAATTAAAATCCAATAATCTAAAAATCAAATATAATAGTTTATACTTTTTAATTATTCCGATCTAACCATAATTTTTAAACAAATAAATTTAATTAAAGCCTTGA